ATCTAAGTTAACTTTCTGAGAAACGAGATCAACTACTTTCGACCTTTTTCAATAAGACGCGATCTTTTTCAAATTACCTCGAATAAATTTATAATTCGTTCGATAATATTTTATATAGTATATATATATATATATATATATATATATATATATATATATTTAAATTATATGGTTTTAAAAATAATTAAATAAATTATTCTTAGTTATCATAGCATCTAACATTAATACAAAATATAGTATATATATATATATATATATTTTTTTTTTTCATTTAGGTTTATATTTAATTAAATCGATTTCTTTCAGATTCAAAAAAGGAATTTCCAATGGAATACGTTATTCAGCCTGATGCCTTTTGAAGATAAAACGTTCGAATCGATCTTATTCTGGAAGAATTCGTACGTTGCAGCAGATCCGTCTATAAGGGCAAAGTAGGAAGTAAGAAAAGGGCAGTGGAAAGGGAAGAAGGAACGAAAAAAAAAAAAAAAATAAAGGAAAGGAGAAAAAAAGGTTCGATGGTCGTTCGTAGGAAATCCTCATTCCCAATCCCGAAGGAACGAAATGGCTTGATTAACTGACGACGCGTCGTTACTGCGGCCAAGCCTCTGCTGTACTTCGTAGTATTGCCCTATAGGGCTCGAACCAAGGAGTTCTCGTAGCAGTGTTCGAAGGGTGCCTCAAGGCAAAAAGAAAATGGAAAGGGGCGTACCAAGCTGGTCCTTTATTCGACTTTGCACGATCACGTTCGCGGTTTTTTTTACGCCTGATAAAAAGAGCTTTGCCTCATTTCTTTTTACTTTCTCCTTTTCTTCTTTTTTTTTTATTTTTCTTTTTTAATCTTTTACCAAAAAAAAAAAAAAGCATTAAGTTTCTTAAAGCAATTGCATCAAGTTCACAAAGGTGTGAAATCTTACTGTTAAAAAAAAAAATTTGATGCAATATATTTTTATAAGGGATTAAAAGATCACGTCATTTGTTTAAGCCAAAAAACGTTGGATTGATTATTTATTATAAATATATCTTAATATTTGACCACGATAAAGCTGACAATAATTTATTCATTCATTATTGTGATTTTATGGAAAGGAAAAAAAAAAAAAAAAGAAATCATAAATAATAGCCTCGATAAATTTAATTATCTTCAAATCATGTATTAATCATTTAATAGTATATTTCCGAGTATATTCAGTATATAATTAATAATAATTTATATCGATTCAATAGCCAATGAAAAGATAAGGTAAAGTTAAACAACAAAGTAGCATAACAACATCGTATCCTCAATTTTTTCTTTATATAATAAATTCTGACGTGTAGATCTCTCACAAGCATATGGGGGAAACGTTAATGCCATTTTATGACCAGGCTGATAGCCGTAACGCAACATGGTGCCCCATGGTAAACCTCATCATCTTCCTGGTAGTTGAGAGAAAGACAAGAAAAAAAAATAAAAAGAGGGAGGGATTGTGAGGAAAGGGGAGATGTGCTTTAGGGGATGTTTTAGTTAGAGAAAGAGAAAGATAATGGAAGTAACCATCTCTAGATGATGACGTTCGCTACGACTTTGTTGTTCTATGTGTTTTGGCGAATCGTCTTACGTTATTCATAAGGACGGAGGGAAAGCTTGAAAGCACATGGGCGTGTATCTGCGATCATGTTTAAATCTTCGAGATTCGTAAGAAAAAAATATTTGCTTTTCTCTTCTTAAAAAATTTTATATCTTTATTATTTAAATAAAAATAAATGAAACTCAGATATATCTAATAATCAATCCTACGTTTCAAGATAATTAAACAAAATTAATTTTAAGAAACATATATATATATGTGTGTGTGTTTGTGCGTGTGATGCGTGTATATATATATATATTTATATTTACTTATTAATTTTAAATATTAATTACTAAATATTAAAATTTAAATATTAATTTTTAAATATTAAAATACAATATTAAGACACCTTTTGCCATGCTAAAAGTCGTACTTAATAATAATAATAATAATAATTTAATAATAAATAATAATAATAATTTGTATAATATTTTCACAGGATTGTTCGTAATAATTTGGCATGGTTCGTTTATTATTTTCGCAAGGCGAAGCCAAGCATAGAAACAACGAGAAATTATCTGGATGCTTATCGCTCAGGAAGCGTCAAACGAGCACACTTCCGGTTCGCGGGTTAAAGCATTTCCTATTCCTTCGAGAGTCGTCAACCCTTTTGCACTACGAGTGAGTAGAAAGAGAAAGAGAGAGAGAGAGAGAGGGAGAAAGAAATATCACGTAGGAGGTGAGTTTTACGAAGGGTAAAGGGCAACAATGCCATGAGCAAGTACTCGAGCATCAACCTTTGTCTGAAAATTTCTCTTTCTCTCTCTCTCTCTCTTTTTCTTTTTTTTCCTTTTTTTTTTTTGTTCTTTTTGGCATCCCTTTCCTTCTTGAAGGGTGCAGTCTATCTCAACCCTCGCAATGTTCACAGTCTACAATTGCTCTACCTTTTTAGTAACCACGAAGGTTCACATATTTATATTATATGGGTGTGTGAACATTGAACGAGTTCGTTCACGCTCGATTATTTTCATGAAGCGTTGAAAATACGAGAACTCCTTTCGAGTTTCACCTGACCTCTTTTTTTAGTAAAAATTCTCGGCCTAGAGTATTATCAAGAAAATAAAAAAAAAAAAGAAAAAATATTCTTACTTAATTTTGATATTTATCATGATTTTTTGTTTTTTTTTTTTTTTTTTTTTGATAAAATTCAATGGAAAAATATTAAGAATTCATATATTGGATCTTTTATCCCTTATTTGAAATAAATGATATAAAATTTACAATAATTGTAATACAAATTTAAACGATTTCATGATATATTTGTTTTCTTATTGAAAAAGAAAAGAAAAAATTCAATTTTAAAAATTATTAACAAAATCGATTTTTTTTTTTTTTTTTTTTTTTTTTTTTTTTTTTTTTTTTTTTTTTTTTTTTTTTTTTTCATTATTATTGTTGCAATATTTAAATGAACAAAGAATAAATTACATTTGATAATAATATTTGTTTTAAGTCTTTACGACTTTCTGTATCGAAGGTATTGTCTTTGAAAGATTTCCATTCTTATAATATAGCTGTTCTTAGTAATGATGTACTATAATAAGGCAACGTAAATTCTAGGAATTTATATAGGTCAGTATGTCACATCGAACCAGTTTGAATGAAATTATGTAAGCCAATAGGTCAAAGTAAAACATTTTCTATTTACTTGGATGTATCATCGAAACTATAAGTCATAGAGATTTGAACCAAATACCATTTTAAAGGGGTAGAATGTTATCTATTTTTTTTTTTTGCAACGCATTATTGCAATAAATAATTGAAAATTTTTTATAAACAATTTTCATAAACAAATTTCTAACGAACTAGATTGATTTTATTTCGTCAAAAAAATGTTAAATATTTCTTTTTATCTAGATAATTATTAATATGAATTATGTAAAAAAAAAAAAAAAAAATAAATAAAAAAAAAGGAATTATTTATACATATTTATTTATAAAAAAAAAAAATTCGAACATTATTTATTAATCAACTTGATACTATAATACTCTATGATGAAAATTAAAATATTACTTGTCGACTAACTCAATGTTCTTTATATTTCAGGTATGAAAATAAGCAGAGAAAGAGAATACATGATAAAAAGAGAAAGACAATGGTATATGTCCATGTGTGTGTGTGTGTGTGTGTGTGTGTGTGTGTGTGTGTGTGTGTGTGTGTGTGTGTGTGTGTCGTTTCAAGGGACGATTTTGTCGTTTCACCAGCTCATTTTTCCAAGACGATGTACCAATTTCTTTTCTCCTCTGTCTTTCACCCTCGCCGGCTAGACCAGAGACACGATCTCATTTTATCTTTTCGACCCCTTACACGATCCACGTTTGTTACAAGCCCCCCCTCCCCCCAAAAAAGCTCGACCACTATGCCACCATCGTGGTATAGTCATCGTCGCTACCGTAGCTCTTTACTCTTATACTCTCATTCATCCCTCTATCGTCTATACCCTCTCGCGGTCTTGTTCGAGGGTGGCTATCCTATACTCCAAGTCCGATCGACGGTAGATAGAGCACGTCGATTCAAGAAGACACTTGAACGTGCACAACTTTAGACTTTCTTCTTGTTTTTTCTCTTAATGTCATTGTCTCTTTTCTTAAGTAGATTTTGTCTTTTAAAATTGTTCTAAACGATGACCTATCATAATACATAATATAGAATATTTATATATATATATATATATATATATATATATATATATAAAATCATTTTATATATATATATAAAATTATAATGTAAAATATTTTTCATTGTTAAATAATTTTATATCATTTTAGTTTGTAGATTATTATAATGTAATATATTTATACTTGAGAAAATTATATTATTTATTTTTATTTAAAATATGACAGAGAAATTACTCATCGATTTTTCGATTTTATCTTTTCAATTGTTATTTTAGACATTAATTTATGATAATCTATTATGAAACATAACAGAATATTTTTAATTGTTAAATAATTTCTATCATGTTAAGTTGCAGATCATTATGAGGGTACAATAGAAAATTATCAGTTGAATTTGTGTTCAACATATGAAAGAAATTATGCTATAATTTAATATATAATAAATCATTATTAGAAATGAAATTTAATGATAATTCTCTTCAGAATTCTATTAGAATCATAATATTTTTTAAATGTGTGTGTTTGTATATTTTTGTTTATTATAAAAAAAAATAACAAACTTAGTGAGTCAAATGTAATAAAATTGTACTCATAATTTACTCAACATAGTAAAAAGTAATTCAGAGTTATTAAAAAATTCTTCATTCTATATAATTATTAAATAATAGACGTTAAATGAACATATTTTTAAAAATATATTTAAAAATATTACAGATTATTAAAACAAAATAGTCGTCCTTGTAGTAACTCAATCATTTAATTATAATTTAATATTTTAAATGTTGAAAATTATGTTATAAATATTATTAATAATTTATGATAAATATTCACAACGAGTCGATTGAAAAAATTCATATTCATTTTTTACATTTCAATGACTATCTTTTTTTCGCGAATCTAGATTAAAATTAAAAACCTATATTCTCCCATAATTAATGCATGTATGTATATTTAAGAAAATTATGGCTGAGAAAATAAATAAATATTTATATATATAAATATATATATATATATATATATATACATAAAATTTTCATGAGAATATATTGTAGTGTTAAAGAAATTAAACAGATATGTCAATGTTTAGAATTTATTTAGGTTAGTAAGTTTCACACATATCTTTTTCATCATCATTCTTTTTATTTCACGATTATATATATTCAAATTTATTACTTTTGCCGCGCATTTGTAATTGAAGCATTTTCTATAAATCTATTGAACAATTCTCGATCTCATAAATAAATTATTCTCGATCATTATCGAATCGTAATAATATATTTTAATTATAAATCATAAATAATCAAACTTTTTATACATAAATAAAAATTATAAAGAACTTCATTTATTACATAATATTTTTTACGAGAGGCATTATATGAATTAAAAATGAATTCTTTTATTATTCGAATTATTAATTATGTATCATTTGACATACACTGTAAAAAACATTTGGAAGGTCTATGTGTACGTGTGTGTGTGTATATATATACATGTAATAAGAAGCTGTGTGTATATGTGACTAGTAATTATTTTAGTTAATTATTTAATTAAAACAAAAGTTATTAACTTTTATGGCCCTAATTAATAAAGTTTATCATAACTAACGTATTGTCAGATTTGATATTATATTTTATCGTGATAATAATGACAGGAAAATATTAATTTATTTCTTTAATATGATTGGTGGTAGTGGAGACGGGGTCCACATATCTTCCTTGCTATTGGTGGAAATGCCATTTTGAGTGGACTCCTTCTAACTGATAGCACGGTGTATCGTCGTCCTCATAATTTCAGGTAATTAGAATATTTTTTCTAATGTACATCTTTCTCCTATGTATCAATCGATTCCTTTAAACGAATTTTCTAATATCGATTGTTAGCAAGTCGAAATATCGTCTCGTATAAAAGATATTCGCGAAAATAAAAACGGAGATTATGACGTATCCTCGATCGTTTGTTACGCAATATCTTTTTTAAAAGTTTTTCTTTATTATTTCTATGATTTCGATATTTTTCTTTGTTTCTAATGATGCTGTAATTAATAATCTTTCATTAATTAATAGTCATCGATCGAATTTTATAGTTTTTTTCCGATTTTAAGATATACACCTATACACATGGTATATATATATGCATATATTCCTATAGGCACATATATATATATATATATATATATATATATATATATATATATATATCTATCTATAGGGTATATACATATTATATATCCATCTTATAGCATTACTTGTATCATATATCCGTATTTTTATACATAGGTTCATTTTACATTTATACGTATATATATATATATATATATGTGTGTGTATACACATCATATATATTAATTTTATACTTTGCTAATAAAGACATTGTATTTTTCAGCTTTTAAGAATTCTACGTATCCAGATAAAGTCCAACACACGTACACACATATACATATGCAGAGGATACGATACTTTTTCTACCTATAGCTGTCCCCTCCTGTGTTTACATACAAGTAAGTCTATCCTCTTTTAAGTCTATCTTCTTTTAAAGCAATACGTAATGGAGTACGAGTGAAGGAGAGGGGGGAGAGAGAGAGAGAGACAGAGAAACTGTATTCAAAATAAATAAGTGGCTAATAATTTCCAAGAATTTTCGGATATCTCTCCGGTCGAAAACAAAAACAATTAAACATTTGCCTTCCTTCTAGGTCACAGAGAATCGTCGCCTTTTAGTCTTATAGAATATCTCGTCGTGTGTACATCTAGAAAATCGTCAGATAATTTCATTTGAGATAAATACCATTTATCGTTCAACATTTTAATTTATAACCTTTTTAAAACTATTACGCTCATATATTCGTTTAATATTCTATTGTAAATTTATTGTCACGTAAAAAAAAGAAAAAAAAAAAAGTATAAAAATTGTTTAGGTTATCGTTGATGATCTACAAGTGCAATTATTAATTTATTTTAAACACTTATAATATTTTCATTAGCAGTAGGATCTCTTGGTGATGAGATCTGCTAATCAGTATTGCTTGAGATGTAATTTAAAATACATAACAAGCATTATTAAAAAGTAATTACTACATGCTTTAGTATATCTCAAAGTTTAATTACCTTTTAATTATTATATTCGTAGGCAGTTAAATTTTACATATTAATTATCATTAGTAGCATAGATTAATATACTTTTCAATGTGTTTAATGTTTTTCATGTGAAATGATTTATAAGAATGTAATTTAATTTATAAATATTGTATTTCTTGTCGTAGTAATTTTTTATATGTTTCAATTTTTCAATTTTTATTATTTTTGACTGCGTCCAAAGCAGTCATAGAATCACTGTTCATTAGTAATATTTTTATTAATTTATTTTTATACTTAAATGAATTAATTAAATTAAATTAAATTAAATTAAATTAAATTAGAGTTAATTGAGATTCGGAAATTAGAATTATATTTGTGTTAGTGGATCATTCTTCATAATCCTGAGGCAGGATGTTCATCGGGTAAGAATCAAGAAAGACATTGAGTAAGTAAATTATTTAATTAAAGTTTTCTCAATAATTTTCACGATTCTTTTTATTAACAATGATATTAAGATTTTGTTTTTCTTTTCTTTTTTTTTTTTTCAGACTATCATTGCAACTGTCCTTGAAGCAATGAATTAATAGAATATTGTCACGTTAAAATATAAACAATAAAATCAGCGAATTAGAAACAGTGTTTATTGTAATTTAAATTAATCCGCGTTTTACGATTAAAAATGATTTTTAAGAATATGCGTATTAAAGTTGACTGCATGCAAAGCAGTCAATTATAGAGTTAGTGTTTGTGTTCGTACAAAGTTTTCTTTTTCTTTATTGACATAATCGCGTAGAAAGACTACATTTATATTTGAAGAATAAAGATTCACGAATTAAATTCAATATATGTCTCATAATTAATATTATTATTAATATAATTAGAGAATATTATTAGAATCAATGCATCGCTGAAGATGTGGTCTCGATTTACAATTTCAATCTACATCTATGTCAGTCTATTTCATTTTCAACTTATTATGAATCAATCTTCGTCAATTTCACTACTACTACTATTACTAGGAATCAAACTTTCTCAATTTTTATAGTAATAACTAATAATATTTGTACTAATACACATATCCAAATATATTATTATAATAATTATTATTAATATCAGTTTTGCATAATAGAGTTTATAACATTTTTATGAAAACTTTGAAACATTGATATATTACTAGTATGTATATATACTAATATGTATTAGTATTTTTTACATTTAGTTATTTACGTAATAATCATTAGCCTTGACAGTAGATTACAGCAATTAGTACGTAACCCTAATTAGTTAAATAAGCATTAGATAAGAAGCGTTATCGGGGATGCTTCGGGGCATACTTTCTAATGTAAGCTTTTTGCATTTTACTGATATGTGAGAGAATTGTGGAGCGTGTGTGTCGGAACAAATGTTTTTTTGATATTTTTTAAATATAGAAAATTAGATAGACAGATAGTATACTTTTCAATGTAAATGGATATTTAATTTTAAATAGATAAACCCGGATAATAAGTAGAGTGTAATTTCCACTTAGGAGTGGAAAATTTCATTTCCAGACATTATGCAAAGTTTCAGCAAATTTTAGAATTATTAAGGATCTTTAGTTTTTTTTTTTTTTTTTTTTTTTTTTTCCCCATCATATTTTGCTGATACCTGTGAAGGCAAAAATATACATTCGATTATTATGATTTTACATAAATTACATAGTTTTCATTTATAGCTGAATAAAAAAAAAAAAAAAAAAAAAGAACTTCTTTTCTCGTATATTCTTTCTTTTTTTTTTTTTTTTTCCTTTAATTTTTTGTTTATCCTTCTTCTTCTTTATTTATGGCAAATATCCAGACAGATCGGTTTCGATGTATCTTCTTTCTTATTTTCGTTCCACCCTCTCACACTTTCGCTATCATCATACGATCCCTTATTTCCTTCTCACCCTTACGCAAGCAGTATGGACAGAGCGGTCTTTCTTTCCCCCCTATCTCTAGGCCATAAGAGTTATACAAGGTATTAACGCGAAAACAGATGTAGGCGTGGAGAGGAACGCGTTTCTAGGCCTTGCTCACCCTTCTTGTGTACCGCGACAATTTGTCACGCCAAACCGAGCCACCGTTTCGAGAGACATACATAAATACATACATAGATACATACACATATACATCGATAACCTCGTGTTTGATAAATCATGCGATAGACGGACGAACATTATCGATGTTATATGTACGTGTGTTATGTTCACAGGATAAAACGTATCTTACGTTTATACGTTTCAACATTTCTGATCCATCTTTTTTTTTTTTTTTTTTTTTTTTTTTTTTTTTTTTTTTTTTTTTTTTTTTGCGATAAATCGATGTATCCTAAAAGACATGCATGGAGTAGTTGTACCTTTCTTAGGATTGTCAACTGATAGGCGGAAAAAATTTATGCGTAGGGTACAAAATATTTTTCATATTTAATATAGAAATTTCTCATGAGAAATATATTCTATGTTAACGATTAGAACAAATTGATTAATTTTATTTTCTTCTTTGTATTAATTCGTTTGTTTTTCTTCGGATGGATTACTTTTTTTCAGAATTTTGAGATGAGAATTTCATCGGGGGGGGGGGGGGGGGAAAGAAAAAAAAAAGGAAGAAAGAAAAAAAGAAAAAGAAGAACCTGGTCTAAGGAGGAAACGAGCCAACAAATCGGATTCACGAGATGCCGGAC